GCGATACAAATAAAATTGAATTGACTTGAATTTAAATTGAATTTAAAAGTCCAGTGTGTAACATTTAGGAGGCTCCACTGGCAGACAGGGAATCATACATTCATGTTGTCATTAGTGTACAATCACTTGAATATAGGCATCGATTGTGTTTTCGTTACCTTAAAATGAGCCTTTATATTTACAGAGGGAGCGGGTCCGCCATGCTGAACTGCCATGTTTCTACAGTAGCCCAGAATGGATAAACCAAACATTGCTTCTAGGTAGGGCCTTTCATGTTTTTCATGGCCACCTCTCCTAGAGCTGCCCCCAAAAAATCTAGCCTACCCAAGCCGTAAAAAATTGTGTGCAAGCCCGGACCAAGTTTTGGGCCTTTGCACCACCCGGATCTCAATTTCTGAATCTGAAATAAATTGAAATATTTTATAACAAGCTAAAGTAAACATACACTAAACATTTTGATGAAAATCATAAAAATTAAATAACAAAAACAGTCTCATGCATTGTTAATAAAATATGAATATTATATATATATATATATATATTTTAATCTCGTTCTGTCTGAGCCTGACCCGAGTCCGACCTAGAGTAGCAGGTTTGAGCTGAACCTGTTTGGACCCGACCCAACCCACCATGTTGGGGCAGAGAATCAAAGCTCTACTTTCTCTTCCACACTTGGAAGAAGAGACTGAAGCGAGTTGGCCACAATCTGTAACTTCACAGCTAGATGCCAATAAATCCTACACACCGGGACCTTTATATGATTATTATTGGTAGAAACATTTTGATAGTGTTCTGCACAGCCAAAGTAAACCATCATTAAGATCCTCAAAAGAAAACAAGAATTAGCTCCATTTGCACAAACAACATGTATTTGGCCATATTCACATCACTTCTGGGGGTGTTTAACTTGCAAATGGAAAACCTTCCATAAATCACCGTAAAAAATACAGTAGACATATTTACAGAAATTCTTGATGACAGTGCTGTTTTGTGTAGCTTTTTACAAACACATTATTGATATACTAACAAGCATACAGCTACTCTACCAAGCCTCGTGTCAAAAGGCCCACAAACTTGACAGTGAAAAATTTATCATAAAACAAATTCAAACTCAGTTCAAATATGAACAAATTCAGAAGCTAAACAGAAGTATTTAACTGAGGTTAAAGTTTCTATGATATTACAGAGCATCACACTGCACTGTGCACATAGTGGAACTGTCTAAAGCCAGGCTGCAGTTTTAAGAACACACCATCATAGTGTCACATATAAAAACTATTCCTGTACATATTTTTAAAGGGGAGATCAATGGTTGTTACTGTAAGATTAAGGAGGTGCTTTAAGATTACTATTCCCATTTGTCATCATGCAACACGTCAATAGGCTACTGGTCACTGAAGGACTTCATTATGAGCTGTCTGAGACTCCAACACAGGAAGCTCCAGCTTCTCACACTCTGTCAGCTTCAGGGTTAAGTGCTGAGCGATCTCATTAGGATCAGTGTACAGCGCAGCAGGAACATTCTGAAGGAGAGAGTAACATCTGTGTTAAAATGATAACTATACATCAAGAAAGATACAAAAGACACTTTGGGTTGTGGGCTTGTTTTCGTCCAGGTGGATTCTTGTTGCCATTAGGAGCACTAGGAGGAGCCAGAGGAACTCATTCTTTCAAAGATTATATCTCTCATGTACTACTATTAGGATATAGTGAACGTGGATAGTACTAGCTTCAGAGCAGTTACTGTTGTACATTCGTGGCCAAAAGTTTTGAGAATGACACAAATATTAATTTTCACAAAGTCTGCTGCTTCAGTTTTTATAATGGCAATTTGCATATACTCCAGAATGTTATGAGGAGTGATCAGCTCAACTGCAATTAATTGCAAAGTCCAGTCTACAAGCCCTAGAGTGGCGAGGCCGCGCTGAAGCGGTTAGGGCTCGAATTGAACTACATCTATGTGGAAAGGAGATGAGGCGCTCCTGGTGTGTCAAGAAGCTACGCTGAGAGAGTTGGGATTGCCACTCGGTTGCCACGCCTCGAGGTCATCTTCACTCAAGGAGCCCAGGGAAGTCTAGGCCGGTGCTGAGTAAATTGATGTCCTCCCTGGTAACTCCGCGTAACTGTTGACGACCAAGAGGTTGCAGCTATACATTATTCCGTTGTTTTCGGTTTTGTCCAGTGAGGCAGCAGATGCCTTACATCCCATCTAGGCCATCACATGATTTGCCATCCAAGCCTAAACAGAAGATGTTATTTTCATACTCGGTTGCGCCAGCGATTCTTAACATGTTTCATAGCGTTCTCCCGCGGGCATCTTCTATCTCACACTTTGACGCCTATGAATATCCAACTTCCGTAGCAGAATTCTTACTCATTCACTGAACATAACAAACATGAGCCACAGTTCGTCAATCCCACATGTTCCAG